GATGTCAGACGGCAGCTCAAGTTTTTTGAACTCCAGAGTTCTGCAGGATTAAATACAGCAGAGAAATGTCACAGGGATCATGTATGAGGAAGTCCCAGAGAAGAGAGCATTGTTTTCTCCCCCCCCATAGTCTCATTCTCTTCAGCTTCTCTTGAAAACAAAGACAGAGGTTTGTTAATATCATGCATAAATCACACTTAGATTAAAAATAATAATAACCAGCTCTATTCAGGTGCGGGGTTTCACTTTAAAGGAAGCAGCAGACAGCTAAATGCTTTTGTTATCAGATTCCTTTGAAAGCGAGCTGCTGTCCTCTCTCTGACAGCTCGCGTGTGTTCCTGAGTTAAAGCGACTTTGAATGACTTCACTACAACTTTCCCCCCCTCACTGTGTGTGTGTGTGTGTGTGTGCATAGGCCTGCAAGAGTGAGGGAGACCTTCTGCTATTGTTGAGTTTTTATTTTTACACGCTGACAACCCGGGAATCTGATGGACTAAAAATAACCCAGCGCTTTCCAAATTTGTCATCTTTCAGGCTTGACTGTTTTTTGTTGTTTTTTTTCCCCCGGAGCGTGCATCTTCCCGGGAGAGCTTGAGGTCACCACAGGGCACTTCCTGTTACAAGTTCTCGTCTTTGTTGTGCTAACGGCAGCTCCTAAATGTACTCAGACGTTCAAATAAATGTAGGACACCGGGGGAAGGAAAGGCCTCCGCTGTCTTATATTTGAGTCGCACAGCGGGTAGTCCGGCCTCAATGTGTCTCTAAATGACAGTTTTTTACTTCTTTAATCTTTTTCCACTTCTTGTTTTTTTCCAAGAGTGGGTTTAAGAAGATAAGATAAAAGAGAAATGATGCCAAATCTGTCCTACCTGTAAAACCCAGTTAGTTGAACCGGGAATCACAGTAAGACGTGGAGCCGTGTGTAGCTCCGTCTTGCAAAAACCAAAGACTTTTTGTGCCTCTTTAAATAACCAAACAGCATGATAGATATGCACACTGCTATGCAAACAGCAGGCTATGTAAACGTCCTACATGATCTAGGCAAATACATTATGCAAGTTGTTCTCAGGTGCTTTTGGAGCGAAAAACAGAGACAGATTTCTGCAACTTGGAATTGGCTTCTGTGTTTTTAACTTCTTACAGCTTTGTGTGGTTTTTGTTTTCTGAAGTGGTACAGAGTGACGTGAGCGCCGCTCCTTCCTGTTTCTCTGTGTTCAGAGAAGGCTGCTGCTGATCAGGGAGTGACCTCTGATCCTTTTTCACGTCTGATAGCTTTTCCACCCTGGTATTCCATTTAAATCCTCTGTAGTTCTCATAGAACGACGTTCTCTATCTATGTGCACAAGAACAAGAGATTGCAGCTTCATCTAACCTCCAGCTACTAATCGAAGCATTTGCTGCTTGATTGTTGGGCTATTTTATTTTTTTTTTTTCTAAATATTTAAAAATGCATCTTTAAGTGGACTTTGTAATATAAGACACTAATATTCCTTTGTAGACACCTGTCAGACAACTACAATCACCTTAAACCACTACTCAGACCAGGCTGTGTATATAAACCACTTCCCTTTGGGCCCCAAAATGCTAAACTAAGCCAACTAACTGACATTAAAGATCATCCAAAGCATAGATGGGGTTTTATTTTAGGATCTTGGAGGGGTATGTAGAGTCTCCATTAAACATACTGGGGTGTCTGAGTTGTACGGTTGCTTTAAGTTGCAAAAAAACCTGCCTGGTGAGATCTTGGTTGTTTCACAATGGAGTTAATCATCATAACAGCCACACCAGGCTGTTAAAACTTCAGTTAAAAACTTACGGCATGCAAAACATGTCCTGATACTGGTTTTCCTATCAAAATAAAATAAACAACAACAACAAAAAACAATAAAAAAAAAGCCTTTCCTATTCAAATGCTGCAGCCAGTGACAAAAAGGCTTCGTACTGGATAATAATAATAAATACAAACAATGTTTTGAGAATAAGGGAAGTGGGTTCATTTGGTTGCTTCACTAATGCAAAAAAGAAAAAAAAATCACACTGTCAAACAGTAGCCTTCTCTTTCTAATGACTGATGAGGAGACGAACAACTGTGGGGTCCATAGACTGCATGGGATTAATGCAAAGTTTTAGTGATTAGTAAGAAAGATTTGTACATTTTGAGTGGTTCACTCCTTTTTATTGCATCGGGTGAGATATGCATGCAGAAGGATGCTAAATTTATTTTGCTCTGACTGCAGAAAGATCAACTCACCTGCATCTTTCCTGTTGCTGATGAGCTGGTGGAAAAAATGATGGAGTTTCCTCCTCCGATGCGAACGACGGCGCAGATGCAAAAACCTCCAATATTTATGTGCTTATTGTGGAGTTTGAGACTAAACATGCTCAGATCTATTTGTCTAGATATGATTTCTATAGAAAAACAAAAATAAGCTCCTTTTGACGTCCTTATTGATACTGGAGATCATAGGGCTGAAACAATATTTCAGCATAAAAAAAAAAAAATAGCTGTTTCTAACTCCTTGGCCTTTTTTATAGCTACTATTTGATGGCCTTCTGCTGCCGACATGAATCACACACCAGCTAGTTTCTTTGGGTGTTGGCCACAGCTGCTTTGTGGGTGCTTGTTTCTTATTTAGACACTTGCCGATACAGAAAGTCCTTCTTCTGGCATCGTTCAGGCCGAGGTCACGATGACTCTGTTAACGGATCCCATCTCTGAGGTGGAAATAACTCTTCTGTTCTTCTGGATTGATGTCTTCAGGATTGAATGTGTGTGTTTGTTTGCTGATGAGCTGCAGTTTCTAAGGATTTTCTTTTTTTTTTATTTCTGGGGACACTTGGACTGTTTCTAACCAGATTAGGGCTAAAAAACTAAAAAAAACAGGAGAAGTGAATTCTAAGAGAGAGCACAGCAATAGTAGCATTGACTCTGCTTTAAGGGAAGAAAAATAGCTGCTGTTGCTTAACTTGCTGTCAGGATCATGACACCTTTAGTTGATAAATAATTGTCTTTTTTTTATACACCTAAAGCATGATGCTTTAAATATCTTGAACTTTATAAAGGTTGATTTGTCAGCCACTGATAAGAGATTAACTTTTTGTTTTTGACCTAAAACTACTTGGGGACACATTGGGAAAATTCCTTCAGATTATTGTTCGCTTGTTGCTTTAAACTGCAGATATGATGCCGGTTTGCTGGAACCGGTCAGTGTGAATTGAAATATTGGAAATATCGCAGTCGGAGCTTAGAAATAAAAGATGCTGGATCTGATCTGTCAACGCCGATTTTATCCATCGATCTAACCTCCACAAACGTCTGTAAAGCCGCAGCTAATGATTTTTATTGATACTTGACCTTATGTTTAGTTAAAACTATTGTTTAATGTTTAATGAAAACTAAAATTATTAAGGCTGGAACTTAAAAGGAGTTGTAATCTTGAATACCTGGCAGTGTCGGTTATTTTAGGAAATTACTATCTGCAGAAATCATCATGATGGGCAGGTCAGGCTTTCTAAAGATTAGTGATCGGCCAGAAAACTGCAATCAGTGCACTTCTAATTAAAATATCAGCTCTCCTTTCTTTCTACTGTAGAAAAACCCAAAAATAAATAAAAAAATATTTGTTTTAATTTTTGATATGGAAGCTTTGTCCCTTCTGCTTTTGTGCTGAAAACTAAAAGCCAACCACTAAATGGATTGCGATTAATAATGACATTTTTTTTTTAATTTTCATTGGTTAGTTTTACTAGCCAATGAAAAATATGCAAATCTAGTCAATGCGCACTGAATGGAGGCCTGACGATAGAGGAGGGCTCCATAGTCGAACTAGAATGTTGCTAAAATTTGCTGAAATTAAATACGTTTGTTTTCCTCCTGGTTGCCCGAGAACATGAGTGTCTCTCTCTGTGTAAAAGGGAAAAAATAAAGGAAACTGTTTGGTCCTCTGTGGCCTGCACTGGTCTGCAGCAGCTAATGCTAAGTAGCATGTAGCAAACAGGAGCAACTGGACTCCTGGTGATTTATTAATTTATTTTTAACACATTAGGTTGTAGAGCTGTTTTAGATAAACATTATCGAACAATTATACAGTTTAATTACAGAAACCATTCAATAATATGACTTTTAAAGATGTAATGTTGCAGCTGTGCTCCTCTGCACAAGAATAGAGTTCCTACATTTCAGCAGTTTGTTTAACAAAACGCAAATCGAAGCCTCCTAAATGTGATTTATCGGCAGAAAATATAAATTTGTGGGTTTGCAGCTGCATCACATCCCTTTAGATATGGAGGATTTCATGCAGCTGGAGCTCTGTTAGCTGGAACGACCCTGAAGGCAAAGCTTTCAGACGGGACCGAGCTGCCAAAGCTATGTTTGCTGGAATTCCAATTTATTGGAATTAATTTTCTTTTCCTGTTTGCATGGCTGAGGTTATTGGAGCAGCCTGTGTTTTATCACGTTTGTATCTCAATGGCCTGAAATTCCGGAACTTCACACAGTTGCATTGAAAGATGATGCCAATCATTTGTTTTTTTTAAGCAGAAACTCCAGAAAAACATTTAATTTATTGTTTTAGATAAATGGAATGGAGAATTTTAGAATATTTTTGCTTTTAAAAAGACCTGAAAATATTCTGTACTGTTGTTTAAGGAGCTTCTCTTTAAAAAAAACAAATAAAAAACTTTAGAAATCGGTTTTTAGACTATTTCTGCAATTTTTTTTGATTATTGAAGAAAAGCTATGCCTTTTATAATAAATGACAAAACGTCTCCAATAACTAAATTCCATCTTTCTGATTTTAGTTTTAGAGGTTTGCCTTAAATTAATGTTTCTAATCAATGTTTTTATGATGCTGCTGTTTGATGATGAAGTTGTGATGTAAAGCGGATCTGGGGACAGGTTTTTCATCTATGAATGATGCGTTAATCATGTTTTTTGAAAATTTAAACCCCCTTTCAATAAGTGGACCTGAGAGCTGATGCAGAGTGTTTGTGTCTTTTAGACCCGTGTCTGATAGTGATGCCACCGTGCTCGAGCGAGGCCGACCGCTTTAGCCTGGAGGCGTTGCGGCACATCCACAAGCAGCTGGATGACGACAACGATGGAGGGATAGAGGTCAACGAGAGCGTGGAGGTGAGCTTTGTCGTCTGATATGTTTGGTTAATACAGACACATGGTTTGCAGGCGGTAAAGCAGAAGATGTTTTTTTTCTGATTGACCTTGAGGTTTTTTTCAGTCACCTCTCTAGTAAGAAGTTTAGATCTTTATTTACATTTGATTTCTCGCTGATTTAAGAGGTTAATTAAAGTGGTTCTTATCTGTTCGGCTAACCTTCCTGTGGTTTACAGGAAAGTTGGTTATCTCTAAAAAATTTGAAGACTTTTCTTTACCTTTAGTAAAAAGTTCTACATTTTTAAACCTACTGTAGATAAAAAACAAAACAAAAACACAAGTTGCCCTAAGGCTATAATGGCTAAATGTTATAAAAGGCATATTTCCCAGTCCTTATCATACTCAGCATTTTAATAAAATTATTTTCATTATTCAAAAACTATCAAACAAAAAGACAAAACTCTGCTACATGCATCATCCTCCGCTTATCTTTGATCCTCAGCTTATGTCCTGTTATTGTTGATAATGATTTGGTAATTAATACTGTTGATGTCAAACTGTATATAAAACATATTTTTTTTAGAAACATAAGGGTTAATATCAATATTACATTATTGATCAAGTGCTGTGATTAATTTCTTTTTTATGATGCACCTTTAAGCAGCCCAGAGATCTATGTTTAGAATTAGCACAGATTATATGGAAGAGAAGACCTGCTGGCATCATCGATGTGTTATTAGTTTATTTGGTGAAAATTTTTTTCCGTCAACAAGACCAGTGGTAGTTTATAAATCAATATATGAATATGTATTCATCACAAATACTTTTGTGAATTTTGCTTGGGAAATTGTAAATTTGATGTGTTTGTTTGACATTGTGTGCATTTGTGCATCTTTTCCTTAGCATGTGTGCATCTTGTTCTATGTAAGTGCGGATTTGTCCGGTGCATGTGTGGCTTTGTCCTGTGCATGTGTGGCTTTGTCCTGTGCATGTGTGGCTTTGTCCTGTGCATGTGTGGATCTTGTCCCGTGCATCTGTGGATCTTGTCCCGTGCATGTGTGAATTTGTCCCGTGCATCTGTGGATCTTGTCCCGTGCATGTGTGAATTTGTCCCGTGCATCTGTGGATCTTGTCCTGTGCATGTGTGTAT